TAGAGTACTTAACTATATATATGTATATATATATGTGTGTGTGTGTGTGTGTGTGTGTGTGTGTGTGTGTGTGTGTGTGTGTATTAAAATAGGTGTATCTACGTGGCCGTCAATCCCATTAAATAATAATATATACGATGCAAAAGTAAAACGAAACCGGCGCCCATACTTTACTATTTTATTCTCCGCTTTAAGATTTAACGTAACACGTTTTTATATACTGATATACGATAATAAATATCGCTCGTCTGTTCCGCATACTTTTGCAGATTTATCCCAAATTAAGACTGTGAGCGATAGTGGCGTAACCAGTAGGCTGTGAGAATTCAAGTTTCTGAATGCCCGTCATCCGGATATAAGTAATATACATTTATTAAAATGTATTTAAAACCCGTGTTTTTAAAAACTGTAAGTGCATAGACATTTGGCAAATTCCTTGGACAAATTCTCAATGCTCCACTAGTAAGCGAAACAACTTAAAACTAAATAGTAAGTGGCGTTTTATTTTTTTTCTGCGATTTTTGAGATTTTCTGCGCCTAAATGGACGTACAGTAAAGTTCGAGTGAGATTTTGCGTTTATTGTGTGTCCGCCAGAAAATAATTTGGAAAATAATCAAATTGATGGATTTTATTTTTAACGAAATATTTCATATTATATAGAAAATATTTACACTTATGGGAGAAAGGGTACCTGGATAAAGTACGTTAGTCAAAAAGAAGATTTTGTGTATATGCTCGAGGAGCTTTTTTAAGAAAGGGGGGAGTTGACAAGCAATGAATATTCACTAAAAAAATTCCCCGAACAACTAATATAAATATATTACTAAGAAATTTTGGAAAAAAAGAAAGAGTAAAACTGTATGTACATTTTAAGTTGTAATATAAATTGTAAAATATTAAATACAAATTTAAAATGTGTAGGTACTTACGTTACCAATATTTTCAATATATATTGACAATAAAACTGAAACACACTGTCGTATAATTATGGATTTTGGAATCAGAAAACCTTTGTGAATATTAAAGTGAAAGTAAAAGGTCAATTAATACAACAAACAAAAAAAAACATGATTATTGATTATTATTTATTAAATAAAATGCGTTATTACTGTAGCGATGAAAATAATACATATATGCAACGATGTTAAACAAATCGATGAACTGTCAAAACAATCAAAGTTTAACGCGTTTTAAATTATTACCATAGAATTGATAATATCATGGTTAATGAATTGATTGATATAATATTTTCTATGTAAAAAAAAAAAAAAAAACACTTAATCCGGGTTCACATCAAATATTTTATAACCATTCATGAAATATATGAAGGGTTTTTCAAATGTAATGCGATTACTGAATTGAAAACAAATCTCGTTATCGTCATAATATTCGACGCATGAACAACTACAACTTTATTCTCCGACTTGTTCTTGGTTATAGTGACTATTAACTATAGGCCATTGACTTACTAGGCCTATATGAGGTTGATCATGGTTTAATGTAGAGCATTAACTGTTTAATTCGATCGGTTACTTATAAATTATAGTTTTTGTTTTGATCTATGAGTACAAATTGATAAATTGTTTTTCATTGCACTTGTAACAAATTGAATAAACACTGGTTTACATGAATTGAAAACCTGTTATTACGAACCATAAAAAGAAAAGAACAATATTAATCAAATATTCAAACTGAACGTAAAAGAATAAAAATATAGTAAAAACTATTAACCACAAAAAATAATTTTGGATTAAATCCTCGATTGTAACAAAAAACATTACACAAACCATACAATAGTTAGGTTAAGTTAGCTTCAAAGATCGATGTTACCTTTAAATAGGATTGTTTAATCTAGAGAGCTTAACGTGTAATCATAAAGAAATACCGTGTATATCGAAATATAAGTCCGCTCCATTCGTCTCATTATCCGACCAATTAGCAAGGTAGGTACCGCGATATGTAAATGTAATTCTTGTGAAATTCGGCCAGTACATTAGATGCATAATTGAAAACCCGGCTATGGATCAGGTACATATTATCAGAGCTCGAAGTATATAACACTAAACATAACAGAAAGATTCCCTATAATATGACCTAACAAATCTTAAAAAAGCGATACGACATGTCCTAAACATTTCGTAATAAGCTAAAGCATATGCCATAAAAACATGAAAAATGGCTAAAAGAAAATTTGTTTATTTTAATATTATTTTTTTTAAATATATAACCGAAAGAAGTCATAATAATATAAACTCTTCGATGGGTCAATACGCAAGGCTACTTAAAGATAGATAATATTATGAAAAGTAAATGAAGGTACTTTTCTTATGGATTCATATAAATGACAGATTCTTTATTCTACAATTTACGAAAAATACAAAACAAATCATTATATCATAATAGCAAAAAATAGCACTACAAATCTAAAATACTTCAAATGTGTAAAAAAAAGCATTATAAAATTTCATATTGAGAGTCTCTGGAGCGTAAAACAAATGTAAACCTCACTGTGCTATTTTTATATGTATCCTATAGTAGTTAGCTAGTTAGCGAATTCTATAAAATCTGAGCCCTGCTTATTACATCTACGAGGGCATCCCATACGAACGAAATAGTCAAAAGAAACATGTTTGTGGATATTTTAAAAATGTTTTCTCCTAACCAGCAAAAGCCGGAGATCAATCGTATAAATAAATTATTTGAGACGATGCGAACCAAAATCGTTGTAAACGACCCGTGTGGTCCAGAAAAACGGCGCAGTTACAACCATTGACGTCATTATTCATAATATATTGATTTGATCGTTCTTGCGTTAGAAATTTCAAATCGCATTTGTATAAAATGTTATACAGGGTGATTATTTTACCATAATTCAGCGGTTTTCTTGGCAAATTTTAAGTAAATTCTAATTTTTTCTTATCAAAATATATGGAGTAATTTATACATTATTTAAACAATTTTATTTACACGTTTTATATCTTAATTGACGTTTGATTTTAAAATATCAACCTTCCAGTTACGACAAATTTTTCAACATGTGTTTGAAAAAAATAATATTTTTCTAAAAAGTTTGAAATGATAAACTACATTATATAATAATCTTGAATCGTTTTTACATATTATCAACAAAATAATAATAATAATAAAGGCTCGATTGGTATGTCATTGTTTTAGGAAGGGTGTTGGAAAAATTTATATATACTTGTATAAATACCTATAGATTGAAAGATTGAGTAATTTAATTTACACCATACCTATACGTAACAATAAACCATTACTACCGAAATACGATTTTGAGCAGATTTTTCTAGTCATATTTTTTTTTCCTTGTTCCTTACCCACAAATAAATACAAATTTTCCAATTTTTCCCTTTATTACAAAAAATGGATGAATAATCAAAAAATAACCTTATCAATACACCAAAAAGATCAAACATACTTCAAGAAAATGTCTGAAAAGATTTTGGTCGGAATAATATTCCAGGTAATTGGGCACAAAAATACATAAAAATAAAAAAAATGCTTCATAGGGGGTAAAACTAATATTTTCCTCGTTTCGTTCGAATCTAATAAATTGCATAGCTGTACAAATGTAAAGTATTACGAATATTGCAGCCGTTTGAAGATTTTTTTTTCAACTAGTTCAGATCTTATATAATATACTCTCAATGCCCTTTTAAAAGCTTTGATCAATTTGAGTACACTGATTATTTAAAAAATTAAAAAAAAATAAAATCTGAAATGTATATAGCTTAGTAGTTCTTTTTAGGTTTTTTTTTTGAAGAATTATAAAACGTTATTTCTTTATTTTGAACGCTGTAATAAAAGTTCAAAACTTAAGTAAATATACGAGTTTAAAGGAAATAATCTCTTTTTACAAAGTATATTTACAGACTGAGACAGAATATTATTATAATTTTAAAGTAACTAAAATTGATTTTGTTTATATACTGGTTTTTTTTCGGTAAAACTTTCTTACACTTCTCCTTGAGAAACTCATTGGAAAACACTAACTACTACTATAACAACTAACACTGTAACTATACCATCCTTTTGACGATTTTTTGAAAGAACAATTTATTTTTAGCGAATAATCTTAAATTTTATTATTATACGCATCCGAGATCTAAAATAATGCAATAACAAAATATTCAACTTTCGTGTTTCATTTTTTTACATCAAATCATCAGTTAACGGCCGATTGAAAATATCCGAACGGGACAAACGTTATAATATTAGGGATGTAAATTTATAAGAATGTGAATATTATTTTAAGTTAATTGCAAAACGTAGCTTTCTTAACAAAATTTTGAATAATAACAAAAAATTAAATTGTGAAACTTTTTTACTTTGCATTTTTTGTACGTTTTAAATTTTTTGGGTAGTTTGTTTACGTTTTAAGGACACTTTCTTCCTTTTTAATTCATTTTACTCTATTTTTATTTTTTTTACATAAATAAAATATTTTTTTGATTTACATAGGGTGACAGGTTTATAGGTAAATTCTTCATACTTTTATTTTATATCCTTGTTTTAAAATGTTTTACACAAATTGCATAATACGAATTAAGATTATGTATGCATTTGTAAGTACAACATTTGATTTACCGCGATTCGATAAGGCTAATTGGTATCATAAATTACAGCTTATAAGAAGTGAATTTCCAGACTAAACAAATAGGTTATTATTTATTTTTTGAGCATTTTGTAAGGTTTCATTGGGTTTTTTAATTACATCCAATACGGCATTTTTATTGATTTTAAAGACATTTTTTAAGGTTTTATAATGCATTGAATGCACAACCCTAGTAATAATATACTACCGCTCGAGAACTGTTTGTACTATGTGTATAGAACGAAAAGGCTGCACGTGTATCCAATTTAGTCGGTCGTAAATAAATTTCCACCCTGTTTTACGCGACCGTCGATAAGTGCAATGGGATTTACTAAACTGGGGCGCGAAACAAAGTCCATAACTTTGTTGTTATACGAATATAGTTAAACAAATATTTGGCCGAGAAATACAACGGTGGTCAAATGTATAATACAATACAAATGCACGTGATTTACACGAAGCCAGGAGGTTTTTATGGTAATTTTAAATCCGGTATAGGTAGGCAATGGCCATCATGGTGGTCAGCAGAAGTATAGTTGGGTACAATTATAATGTAAGCATAATTAAAATGAAGAACTTTCGATGAAAACCGTGCGTTTACAGGATTTTGCTGTCGATATATGATTATACGTTTCGTTGTTTACGACGTGCGGTTGGCCAACCAGCAGCAACGTTCGAAATTGTCTCCGACCGCAATAACGATTGGGCTAGTAGTTAAGTTAGGTAAGTTTACCTATTACATTGTTTTAATAAGTTGAGTAGCAATAAGACCGAACATTTTCGGGAAGAAGGGAAAAGGATTAAAATTAAATCGTCTACAACAGTGGTATATAATATTTAACACAATTTTGAAAAAACGTTGGGATAGGTTTGAATCCTTTAACTACAGATACGGTCTTAGATATTAGTGGCGGTGACCGTGTATAGGCCATCGTCATTGTTTTTCACGCGTGAAAGACCCAATAAAAAGGACGTTATAAAGATATATATATATATATATATATATAATATAATATAATATTAAAATAACAATAAATTACTAGCCATCAAAGGCCGATCGGCGAGTGTTATCTAGATTAGATTTTCAAGGAAAAAATACAGACAAAAAAAAAGGGGGGAAATTACTTACAAAATACATGTACAAACACCCAGGGCATTCCGCATAATAAACAGAAGTTGACGAATTTTTTTTTTTTAAATTGAGAATCTATAAAATGTGCTCATATATGAGTGATGTATTGTACACAATCAAACCAGATGGAAGATCCGCATCTATTAATGCACTCACAGTATTAATGTTTTGGAAAAATTTTACTGAAAATAATGACTTAAAATCGGAAACAGATTTCTATAACCATCCTTCACTTTACTGATCAGAATCGCAATCCCTTGACCGAGATGTTATTCGCAGACTTCTGTTTACTGGTTCATATGTTCAAAAGGTCGGATCTTCATATCCCACAACATATTTGCTTAAACACCTGTTCACGTACACACAAAAACATTTCCTCTTACTTACAGAGTATTTTTTATCACAAAATAATTGTTGGTCTTTACTCACCGATATAGCAGTGTTTTTACACGCAACAACTGTTAAACTGATTGTATAAATATGATATAAGTATAAGTAGTATAAATGTATAATATATTAAATCTGTTGAGTTTTCTAATATTATAAAGTTGCCTGATTAAAAATTTATTAAAAGTGTTTGAAAGAAAAATAAACTAATCAATTATTTAAAAGCTTATTCGAGTTTATTTTTTTGCTTATTATCATGAGGTTTTTTTAATTTTTCATCAAAGATATATTAAAAAAAGAGCTGATATTAGGTATTGGAGCGGCCACCGTTATAGGTGGAAAGTTAGGAAGGTAGGATACATAAAGTTATTTCACTTTTATCTGTAAGCAACGATAAACCATTGATTGACGAAAGACGATTCCGAGTGCAGTTCGGGAAAACATAATTTGAAGTGCAGTAATTTTTTTTGTAATTTTCGTTTAAATTTGATTTTAAAAATATTATTAAAATAAAAAAGTCGTTCGATTATTTTGGAAATTATACCACATCTAAGTAAGTCTAATATAAGTATTATAACCAAGTGTTAAGTCTCTACGTGTATTTATAACCGAATTACAGCAAAAAAATCCAAAAATTAAAATTCCTTAAAAGTTCAAAAGTGGCTCAAAAGTTTTGACGATGATACCATTAAAAATAAATCTAAAAGGTGTCATGTGATTTTTCGATTAAATCATTTTTTCTGGTAGAAAACGTCGTACGTGTTTTTATAAAATATAAAATATGTAAATATTATAAAATATATAAATATATAAAATATGTTTTCCCACGTTTTTTTTCCCATTTAAGTGCTTTTATTTAAAAAATAGCGTCATCAAAAAATGAATTCTTTAAAGTACAATCTAGACAACTAGACCTTTTAGAAAAGTTGTTACATGTAAAAATCGAAGTGAGTTTACTAGGAAAAAACGTGTCCACAGTCTAGAACAATGAAAAAGAAGAAAGAAATAAACAGCACTCTAAAACCAATAGCTTCCTGGCTAAAAATGTATACATGTCCTGCATTGTAAAATTTAAACACGTAAAATGGGTTTGGGGGAAAATTAATTCGAGTGTCCAAAGACGTAAAACCAAGCGTACAACTCTGGTATAAAGAGTACTTCAGAGTGGAATTTTTAAAACTATAAATATAAAGGAAATAATATTATATGAACCAAGAGTAAAGTTTTCATACCAAAATTATCTCTGTAAATATATCAGTTAAAAAGTTGTAGACGTTTAAAACTGTAAACTGTCCAAGTTTATTTGACAGTACTGTATTATTAATAATTAATTAATCATTATTAATATTATCATATTATTGCAATATATGTCATCGTGCCGTAAAATTAATAATCATCCGGAATTGCGCTTACCGACATTTTGCTGTTAATTTGCAGTGATGTGTACGCTGCATTTTCGCATCGGAGATTTCTTCACCGGAGCTGCCGGAACTCTCCTGAAGGATTTTAACTGTATCTTACAATATTAAAATGGTGCAGTGTATGGAAAATATATACGGATAAGAAAGGCCACTCGACAGTTTTACCGTTTTCCGAATATTAAACGCAACGAGAATATTATTTTTATTATACCTATCTTCTTAACAGACAGAGAATTTCCATTGCTTATTATAGCGGAATCGTGCGCTTATCAATTATTATTATCCACAATAAAAACTTTACTTAATGTATTCAACTCAGGAGAAATATAACAGGATATATTATATTTAAAACGAATAATCATAAAAAAAAAAAAAACAATTGAAAAAGACGTTGACGGATACGCGGTAAACTTAAGACCCGGGGCAGAATATATTATTTTTAGATTAAAGGTTAACTATTGAATCGACTAACAATATATTTGCCTAATTCAAATGTTTAGATTATGAATTTATGTGTCCAATCCATCTTAATCTAGCGTGAATTTTTTTCTTAATTATGGGCACTAACTCAAAGCTCCCTTTGATATCCGACCTATTATCACCGTTGTTGCCACAAAATAAAACATTCGAAAATCAACTATAACAATTAATATGGTCTTGTTATTTTGTTTATTTACTTATTACAAGACTATCCCCGATTACAATGAGTTTAGATGAAGATAAAGGAATATGAAATAGGGTTGATGAACGTGTACGGCAAAGAACATTAATGGTGCGGGATAGAAACTCGGGACAATTAATTTAAAAAAAAAAGAAAGGTTATATAGGAAAGAGATGCATGCGATCAGAGACGGTCAGAGAAACTATCCAAAGATAAAAAATGTTGGACAGGGGTATTATCATAGGGGAAAATACTATATGCAGTTTAAAGACAGCATGACAAAGAGATTTTCTTTGGACTCTTTATATTATGTAACAAAAGGCAGCGGTAGAAGAGTTCCAGAGCACAGAGCCATAATCGAGGATAAGATGCATTAGGGGGAAAAAAAAAGAGCTTTTAAAGGAGTAACCAGAAAAAATTCCGTAGCCATCGGGTTGGTGAAACCCAATAGTTTAAAAGCCTTACAGCAGATTATTTGGATACTCATATTAGGACATAAAGTTCATGTAAGTGTGAAACCTAAGTTTTTTATAAAGTAATTTGCAATTGGCAAGGTTATGTTATTGACAAAGTAAATATAATTGACTACAGAATTGGTATGACAGAATGTCATAATATCAATTTAAGACAAGGCCCTGGGAATGTTGATGGTCATTTTGAAGAAGCTGACAGTCGACGATTGATTTTATCTGGAGGTAGAGTTTCGTATCATCAGCAAAAATTAGATTTTTAGAATGATGTAGTACCCAGACAGCTGAGTTTATAAATAGGGAGAATATAAGATAGGAGAGAGTACATAACCCTGTGGTACACCATGCGATGGTATGTAGTGCACTGAATAGGTAGTGTGGACTTTTACCAATTGTACTCTGTTGACGTTGACTAGATACGAGCAAAACCAAGAATAAAACGGTTCACCGATTGTTATTCTGTATAATGCTGTTAAGTGGTAATTGTGGTTAACGCGGTCAAAGGCCTTGGTGAAATCGGTATATACAACATCTACCCGGTAGTTATCACGAAAATAATCAAAGATATTTGAGTTAAGACTCAGGTTACAAGTAATTGTTGATCTGATGGGGGGGATATGTTGTTCATCAGTTAGAATGTGATTTAATGAAGAGCTGGTTGACTTTAGTACAAATGTTCAAATAATTTAGATAAATATAGTAAAATTTTAATTGGACAGTAGTTTGAGACATCGGTACAATCAGCTGACTTTAGGATAGAAGTAATGGAGCCAAATTTTAAGACAGACAGGAAGACACGAGAGTCGAGTGAGCGTCTAAACAATAGCCATAAAGGTTCATTGAGAAAATCGCGCAGTTTAAACTAAAAATCAACCTGAATACCATCAGTGCCCACAGGCTTAATATTGTGGAAGGAAACTAGGCATTTGTATACATTGTCAATTGAAAAATGGGTGTTTTATGGGAGAGCTTAATTATGGATAGGTTGTATTACTTGAGAAGTATTCAAAGTCTGTGAAATAAATAATTGTGTCCAAACCTAAGAAAAATATTTAAAAAACAAGTTCACCGAGTCAGAATGACTTGTACACAGCACACCGTTTAAAGACGTGCTATTGGGTATAGAAGAAGGGGTGTGATTTCTTGTAATGAAACTCCAAAAATAGCAAAAATTTCGTGATATGTAAGATTCAATACGAGATACAAAGTTATGGTAACATTTAGATATAGATTTAGATTTAGGTAACATGTTTAGAAAGGAATTTAAACTTTTCACGAAGGAATGAGAAATACTTGTGGTCTGAAAGGAGTTGGGATAATTTAAATTTAGTGTAAGCACGTGAATTAGTAAACAGTGAAACTTAGTAATACTATGATGGAAAGGATGATAGGCGAGTAGAAATTTTTGGAACATAAGACAAACGGATAAGAAACGAATAAATTGCTGCTTGACGTTATTATGAGGAATGAGGTGATAGAACGTTAGAGGAATAAAAGCAGCATTATTTGAGCCGAAGATAATTTTGATGAGGCGACGTGAAGAGGTGGTTGGCTTATCAAGACGGATAGACTTAAACTCAGTTGGTACGTCCGTGAACATTTTTGATAGAATATCGCGTACAATAGTTTAATAGTTATTAATTCTAATTGAGAAATCAGTAGAAATAGATTATGCAGACTATATATAATAATATTGAACTTGCATTGATCACGGTAGGTAAACCCTTGGACGGCATCCAATAATGAGATAGAAGGACCAGTTGGAACGTGTGCCTCTAAAGTAAGAACTTTAGATTCTAAAAAGTCAACTTTAATACGGAGCTCAGTGATTTCTAAAGACAGGGAGTCAAATTGAGAAGTAAGTGCACTAAGACTGAATTTGAGCTCATTACCCTATGATTTATGACCAGCCGATAATTTGTCCTGGGACGCCGTATATGATTAATAGCTTGTAAGATAAAATCGGCAGTGACATCAGACTTGGAGCGTGTGATGACTGACGTATTTTTGGGCATACTGGTGGTAAAACGATTAAACTGACGTATGAATGTTAGGTAATGGACAGAACGATCTGGAGTTAATAATCACTAGCACACGGTGTATATACGATCGAAAATGAGGGTTGCTGCGCATACGGTGTATTTGCGAGTGTTACACGAGCATTATCTCAACGGTACGATAATTAGCGAGATGAAATTCACCGTTCGACCTTTGCACATCGATAAACTTTTTAAACTAAAATAAACTTATGTTCTTGCGACGACTGTGTACTTAAGTAGCAATCACTAAAACTGCCTTTACACGAAGGATTTTAGGCAGATCGACTCGAAACCAACACCGATCTGCACGTGCACTTTTTATGTTTTGTTTAATATATGGAATGTAAAATACTATCCAAAATTATCGTAATGAGAAAGAAAAAACTGGGAGTCAATAATGCGTATATGTTCACACAATAAAAGCCTGTAATATATGTACATACATTTTAAAATTAAATAGTTTGAAAAATCGCAAATTTATCGGAAAAATTGTTCTGCAAAATTTGTTTCTTTATAAATCAACAATATGTAACTAAGCAACGTAAAAAAAAATCTAGTAATTATAAATAGCAGCAGAGCTCCATCACTTCAGTCGAATTTCTCTCAGCAGACTTGTTGCCATTCAAATTACATTATATTTGATGTATCTGTAGGAGGATTTAAAATCCAGTATATTCATTGAAAACATGAAATTTGAGCATAAAAATGATAAGGGCAAAGGTTGAAAGTTGTAGCATCTAATAGGCACTTCATTTGATACCTATACCATGTCTTTACAAAATTTAAACCCTTGTTTTATTTGGTGTGCATGCGGTCTTTATGGGTTTACAAAGTTTGAAAACCTCAACTCTAGTCCAACATGGTTTAATTTAAATCAAAATTATATCACTTTTATTCGCTTATAAAACAACTAGAATTATTGATTTTGAATTAATTTGTTCCAGAGGGAACAATTTAAATTTCCTAACTATAACAGGAACATATATACATATAAGAGATCAGTGCAGTGAAATAATATATGGGACAGGGGAGGAAGTGTGGAGAGCTGTGACAGACTAATCTTAGCATTATTAACAAGAAAAAAAATAAGAAATAATATTCACGGTGATTTATTTCCCGTTTTACGGAGAAAAATATTCACTCCATGTATATAGTCATAGAGGTACCTACTTCAGAGACGATTATAGTTTATTTGATCGGCTTCGGTACACGCATGATTAGACATTAAATCGAAAAATATATCAAAAGCTCCTAATTTTTTATACACCGACGTTGGGTGTATTTTTTCTACCTTTCTTGGTGCTATTCTGTAATCGAATTACTCGCGTTTATCGTGCACCGACACGCACTACCTAGTTATAGTCGTCTCTCGACATCACGATAAAAATATATTATAGGTACCAAAATGACTAACGAACGAGTCTGGATGATTTTCTTTTTAATTACCAACCCGTTCGCAATGTCCATGGTAACATTATTTTTTTCGACGCTGTTGCGTTTATTTTATACAATATCCCGCGATAGGCAGTATAACATAGGTAAGGCTAAACAACCAATAATAATTTATCTCCATCGTCCGCGCAATAAAATATTGTGTGTGTGTGTGTGTGTGTGTGTGTGTGTGTGTGTATAGACTAAAATTTGAGGTGTGAGCTAGGGAACTTACGACCTCTAAATCAAATCCTTATTAAGTAAATAGAAAATATATTGGGATTAAATAAATAAATAAATAAATACTAACATGCATGGTCAATAATATTGGTGTTTAAACACACCCCCTCCAACAAAAAAAAATAAAAAAATATTTGGGTTATTTTTTGCCTAATATGCATATAGATAATATAAAATGTCCAGAATATTTATTGACAGCTAAGTCATGTGCATCATACGACACATTTTGTGTAATACTATTAAATAGATTAAAAATTTCTCCCAAAAACCTCAAATGAAACCTTTGTTTAGATCAAGCCTTTCTGGTAAAAAAGAGCAAATACGTTTAAAAAAAAACAGACAATGGTACCAGGATATTAAGAGTAGACATGCTAAAAGGTCTTCGGCTATTAAACAAGTGTTTGATTTTCCATTTTTCCCAGTTTTTGAGAAACCGAAAACGAACATCAACAAATGACTTATTTAAAGGTTATAGAAAATTAAAAATTCTTCCGGAAAGTTCAAGTGCAGCAAGATTTGCTTGATAAAAAGGCAAATGTAGTTAAAAACTAGACAAACAGGGTATCAGAAATAAAGAGACATGTTACATCGTATCCTGCTCTTCAACAAGTGTTTGATTTTCAATAAAATTTCTTCTTGGCTTGAAGTTATATAATATGTAAATTATCAAAGATTAATGTATAACAATTTTTTTAACGCTCAAAATTAAACAAATATTTTTCTTATTAACAGGGAAATATAAAATAGCTAATCCGATAATCTTTGATTGTTGTACTGTAAACCATCATAGTATTTTAGTTTACAGGCTTAGTATTGGTCTAGGTACGTTATATATAGTATTGACAATATATAAATCTGTTTTAGTTCAGACAATGGTTTCAAATGATTTGTGTCATCAGCTTATCAATATTCTGGGGTTAGAAGAGGAGATCTGGAAAACAAAATCCCCACGAATCTGCTTGTCCAAAAAAAATCTATTTGAAAATACTTAATATTAATAACGTTTAATCTATTTTGTAAGAGTCTGTAACTTACGAAAATGATCGTTACATCGAATTATAATATTCTTGTTCGACAATTGTAAAATAATGTACATGTATTATATACGTGACCAAAAAAATTGCATTAATAATAGAATATATATAATATATATATATCGAAAGAAAAATCAAAAACTTTTCAAATAATATTTGGTAGATTAGATTAACTCGAAAAATTTCAGAATATTTTGAGAATTATATCACGCTTGCAACGTGTTAGTAGAATAATAAGTAACTATTTGGTGCGAATTTCAAGTACCAAACTGTGTTCTATATTTTCCATTGAGCTTAACAAAACAACAAAATGGATTTTACAAAATTGTTGTTCCTTAAATATTCTCAGCTTTCCAATGTTTTCCTCCTTTACATTATAGCTGTTAATAAAAAACGATAACCTTAATCCACCAATATTAAAAATTTCACAAGAAAATTCAAATAAAGTTTTTGGTTGGAGTAAAATATCTGCAGGTAAAAAATCTGTTCGTGAAAACAAACAAAAAAAACTTTTTTTTAATATTTTTTTTTCTACAGACGTCATGGTAAAACTAAAAAATCGGATCCGCCTGTAATCTATAGTAAATTTTCAAAAATATTTCCTAAAACTAATATCGCATCTATAAAACGCCAGCTTAAATTGTTCGTAAAAAATTTCGGATTCAACAGCGATTTTCTAATTCTTATCGGGTTACAAAAAAAAAACCAAATCGATTTACATATTTATAATATGAGATATTATCGTAAATATTCTCGCGAAATCTTTCTCAATACTTAAATAAAATATTTCTTTTATGCGATCATAAATAGGTGTATATTGAAAATTGATAAAAAAAAATATTAAAAAACTTACTGCGATAATATCACTAAAAGACGTATACCACATAAAAATGTCTAGGTAATAATAATGTAACATGTTGTATGAACAAATTTATTTTACTTATCTGCATGATACACAACTGTTTTTAAACAAATTTATACGTTAATAAAATAAAATGTATACAAATGATTTATGCATTTTACAAGCTCGGTACTGTAGAAATAAAATGATAAATAACATTAACAATAGAAACAACACTCAAGAGTGTAATAATAATGTGTACATCTAGTGATGAAATTGGAGGAACAGAGTTCCGAAACTAAATTTTATTTTTTTAATATCTGCTTTATAATTATTTCTATTGAAACCAAGTTACAAAAAAATATTAACAATAAAATCAGTTTTCATATTAAACGTCTCTTTTATTGTTTCATATTAAATATTTATTTTTTTTTAAATATCATATTTTTACATTAAGTTGTTTGTAAACATAATTTTCTCATTCTGATAAATAAAATAACAATTTAAAAAAATGTTACTTTTTTACTGAAAATTATTTAATAGAAAATAGATATTTTCATTTATATTATGAAAATGATAGGTTTTATAATATATGTACTAATCGTCATTCTTTAGAACATACTAACGATTAGTTATTCGATATTAATTTAATATTTGAACATTTAAATTGTTTCAAAATATTTATTTTTAAATTGATGTTTAAAATATAGGGACTTGTTTAAAACACTACGCAACCCTATTCGCGTATTATAAATTCAGATAAATCCTAAGTTGGTTTTTTTTTTTTTTTTTTTTTTTGTATTGAGTTTATCATTCAACATTGAATGCTAATAAATTCATATCATGTCTGTATTGTTCTTTTGCACCACGAGATAATGTATGTTAAGAAATTTAACAAAATTATAAGAAATAATAATAAAAAAAAATTATAAACTCTAGCCAAAAGTATTATTTCAATTTCAATTTGTTGTTTTTTAGTTATTATTGAATGTTTGTTTGAAAAGTAATGAAAGAGGAAGCCTCGTATAGCCTCCACAGTTTATGTTGAAATCAATCATTGCAAAAGGGCGTTAGTTTTATATACATTTCAAAGTCCCTTTTCCTTTTATTTTTCCAATTTAAGCACTATATAGGTACTATCACAATAATATAATGTTTGTAACTTTCTTATAGCTTTCATGCCAACGGAAACGAATATACTTGACCACAATGGCACCGTGGGCATAATATTTTAAACCCGAAGCAAATTATTGAAAAAAAAAAAAATGGCCAACTCATATCCTCTTCCACTCTCTTATACATTTTTAGGATTAAGCAATTAAATTATGATCGGAAACACCGAAATAAGAAGTATTTATTTATTGACAGAGCAAAATAAATAGGGAAATTATAATATTATGATATTAATGATATCATAATAAGCGTAGTTTTAAAATATTCTCTTTTTTGCTTTTGTATTGTTTTCCGGTAAATATTATTCTTCTATTACTGTCGCAAAAATACAATTATTATTATTTATTTTTTTACTAAACTGGCAGTACAATAATTTCATTCGGTGCGGAGTTTCGTTTTTGGAAAATTTTGCAGTTAAACATTGTAATATAATACAAAAGACAAAAAAGCGAATCGAGTACAATGTTAAGTAATATAAAACATAGTAAACGTAATATCATTTTTTGTTATTATACTT